AGCTATTGGTGATGTCAACAATGACACTCGACTAGATATCGTTGTCGTCAATTGGTTGAGCAATGATGTGAGTATCCTTGTTGGATATGGAAATGGTTCTTTTGAAAATCAAACAAGGTATTCAGTTGGCTCTTCTCCACAATCTGTATCTATTGGTGATGTCAACAATGACACTCGAGTAGATATCGTTGTCGCCAATGTGAATAGCAATGATGTAAGTGTCCTTCTTGGATATGGAAACGGTTCTTTTGAAAATCAAACAAGGTATTCAGTTGGCTCTTCTCCATCATCTGTAGCTATTGGTGATGTCAACAATGACAATCGACTAGATATCGTTGTCGCCAATTGGTTTAGCAATGATGTGAGTGTCCTTCTTGGATATGGAAATGGTTATTTTGAAAATCAAACAAGATATTCAGTTGGCTCTTATCCATCATCTGTATCTATTGGTGATGTCAACAATGACACTCGACTAGATATCGTTGTCGCTAATGAGGGTAGCGATGATGTGAGTGTCCTTCTTGGATATGAGAATGGTTCTTTTGAAAATCAAACAAGGTATTCCGTTGGCTCTTATCCATATTCTGTAGCTATTGGTGATGTCAACAATGACACTCGACTAGATATCGTTGTCGCCAATCGGCATAGCAATGATGTGAGTGTCCTGCTGCAATATAACAGAGGAGCGATTACATATGAAATGAGCTTGGCATCTGGTGGTGGTTCTAGCCTACGATGTGTAGTCATTGGTGATTTGAACAATGACACTAATCTGGATATCGTCATAGCTAATTACGGCACTAATAATATAGGTGTTCTTTTTGGATATGGGAATGGTAGTTTCGAAAATCAAATGATGCTCAGCACTAGCATGAATTCTCATCCGATTTCTATCGCAGTTGGAGACTTCAATGGTGACCGTGAAGTAGATATTGCTGTGGCCAATCATGGTACAAAGCATGTAGATATGATGCTTGGAAATGGACAGGGAAAATTTGCAATTCAAATAAGGTATGAAATTGGCTTTGATACACCTCCGTTAGTTATGGCTTCTGGTGATTTTAATAATGACGCACGATCGGAGATCGCTGTCGCTTACGATGGACGTGATCATGTGGATATTTTTGTTGCGTATAATCATGGTTCTTTTGAAAATCAAACAAGGTATTCAGTTGGTTCTTATCCATCATCTGTAGCTATTGGTGATGTCAACAATGACACTCGACTGGATATCGTTGTCCCCAATTTTTGGAGCAATGATGTGAGTGTCCTTCTTGGATATGGAAACGGTTCTTTTGA